CTGACAGCTCAGAGCCGGGAGCCTGATTCAGATTCTGTGTCTCCCTCTCTCTCTACCCCTCCCCTGCTCACACTCCGTCTCTCAAAAATTAATAAATGTAAACAAAAATGGTTTTTCATTCAAAAATAAAGCATTCTCTTCGCCCTCTCCTCCTAGACACTCACACTTTCTTTTCTAGCCATAGGTTACAGTAATTTGCTTGATATTTAGTGATCAAGCCCCTCATCTAATATCCAGCGGCACATCCTTTTACCTCTTACATATTTTCCAGATTTGTTTATAAAGGTTTTATTGCGAGACTGCGAGTTGCTGGAGAGAAAATATTTCCATGGCGGAATAAGCAGGCCTCATTCGCAGATTGACTAACAGATGACAGAGAAGGGGAGTCTAGCACGACTTCCAGGTGTCTGGCTTGAGCAGCTAGATGGATGGCTGCGCCCGCTTAGGAAATACAAAAGGGAAAACACATTTGGAGAGCAAGGAGGAAGGTGTCATTTTGCACCTGCTGAACCTGTTATGACGTTCAAATAGGAAATCTCAGAGGCGGCTGCAGAGACATCTCTGAAGCTCAGAAGGCAAGTCTGGCTGGACACAGATTGGGAGCCATCAGCACGTAGGTAGTCATCTACGGCCATGGGAACAGAGAACACCCAGGGAGGATGTGTGGAGCTTCTTACACACTCTCCGAATCCTTTTTTTTTTTTTTTTAATGTTTATTTATTTCTTGAGAGAGAGACAGAGTGTGAGCGGGGGAGGGGCAGAGAGAGAGGGAGACACAGAATATGAAGCAGGTTCCAGGCTCCAAGCTGTCAGCACAGAGCCTGATGCGGGGCTCGAACCCACGAACTGCGAAATCATGACCTGAGCCGAAGTCGGACACTTAACCAACTGAGCCACCCAGACACCCCTCTGAATCATTTTTAAATGATTATCCTAGAGTGGCCTGTGGGCCACAGTCTGTGGCCTATGGTCTGCTTTGCAAGTAGAAGTTAATTGGAACACAGTCAAGCCAGTTTATGTATTGTCTACAATTGCTTTTGCTCTACGACAGCAGAGAGGTGGCAACAGACGCTGTATGACCTGTAAAGTGGGAAATAGTTCCTATCTGGCCTTTTACAAAAAAAGTTTGCTAATCCTTCGCCTAGAGGTTACAACATGCACCCTTGCTTTATTAAATTTAATGTAAATTAGGCAGTTGAGAAGTCAGTTGTCAGTTTACTGCTGCTCTTTCGCAGCTAATGAATCTTGCTCTGTCGCTCTTAAATTTTCTCTTTGGTTCTTATCCATTTTACTACCATGTGCCTAGGTGTGGCTTTCACTGAATTTATCTTATTTGGATTTTATAGAAATTTTTTAGCGCGTCACTTAATGCCCTTAAGTGATTTTGGAAATGTGGTAATTATCCTTTTAAATAATATTTCTGGGGGTGCCTGGGTGACTTAGTCGGTTAAGTGTCTGACTTCGGCTCAGGTCATGATCTTGCCGTTTATGAGTTCCAGTCCCGCATCAGGCTCTGTGCTGACAGCTCAGAGCCTGGAGCCTGCTTCGGATCCTGTGTCTCCCTCTCTCTCTGCCCCTCCCATGCTCATGCTGTGTCTCTGTCTCTCAATAACAAAGAAACATTAAAAAAATTTTTTTTAATATTTCTCTCCTGTTGTCTGTCTCCTTTTCTTCTGGAACTCGTTACAGTAATGTTCAACTGTGTTACTATGCCCCACATTTCTTTTATGTCCTCATCTGGATTTTCTATTCCTTTTTATCTCTATGTTTTAGTCTAGTATTTTATGCTACCCTATCTTTCAGCTCACTAATTTCCATCTGCTCTTTTTCTTTTTTATAGATTCTAGGTTTTTGCTGAAAATTACCATCTAGTTATCTATTCATCACGGCTATTTTAAAGTCTGGATAGGATACCTCCAGTATCTAGATCTCCTGTGGGTCTATTTCTAGATTTTATTCTCTTCCCTTCCTCCTTCCTCTCTCCCCCTCTCCTCCCCTCTCCCTCCTATTCCCCTCTTTCTCCCTCTCTCTCCCTCCCTACCTTCTGTTTTTCTTGTCCCTGGGAATGCCTGGGTTTGTTTTTTGGTTTTGTTTTTGTTTTTACTGAATACTAACATTATGTGTGAAGATTTGTACACATTTTGAGTGTACAATTTGAGTCTCTGGATCATATTAGCTTGTTTAGAGAGGAATTACTTTTCTTTTGGGTAGGCGGTTAGGACAGAGATGATGTGTCTTAATCTTGTCAGCACGTGAGTTTATTCCAGACTGTTCCATGCAGTTGTGAGCAGCGGTCTGTTTCCCGTCACCCCTGTTTCCCAAGGCTCACTTCTGTAGTGAGCCAGAACTCCAATTTTTTTGTCTCTATGCCCATCAGTCTGCTCAAAATTCTACTTAGTATCTCAATCTCTTCGTTGCTACGTTCTTCTTAGCTTTTCAGTAGACCAGAGTTTATGGGTGGGTCTGCAGGTGCTTCAAGGAGTAAAGCACTAGAGAATTTCAGCTTCCTACTCAGTACCTTCCATTCCTTTAGTTTTTTGATGCTTCAGGTCCTTACTGCCTTGGTAGCTCTGTTTTCGTCAAACCATAGCCAGAAGTGCACGTCACTTGATTATTTTTTTAAACACAAAAGAAATACATGCTTGTTCTATCAAGTTAAATAATACACACACACACACACACACACACACACACACACACACACACACGGAATAGTTTAATAAATCCCCTTCCCCAATATGTCTCCTTTATTGAATTAACTAATGTTAAGGTCTGATGAGTTTTCTTCCATTTTTTTTTTTATTTTTTTTATGCTCATGTATACCAATATAGAGGTTGCTGAAGACAATTAGTTTGGGTTTGTTTTACAAAAATGGTATCACAGGTACACATGATTCTGCAATTTGCTTTTTACTTAGAACTACATCAATGCATTAAAAATGCATTTAAAAAATTAACTGCATAATATTTCATACTATATTTGTGTCATATTTATTAAATCGGTCTTCTGTTACTAGACATTCATATTGTTTCTATTTTTTTCCAACCTCACAAATACATTACTACTTTCTCAATTTTTGCCAATCCACCATGTGAAATATGTATTTGATTCTACTCCAAGATATTTAAGGTATTTAAAAAGTGCTTATTGGCCTGTGCATAGACTCCTTTGAAAACTCTTGTGTATATCCTTTGTCCATTTTTCTGTTATCAGATGTGTAAGAGCTCTCACTATAATTCATGATATAAACCCCTTATTTGCCACATATGTTGCAAATACCTTCCCAAAGTCTATTTGCCTTTTAAAATGCTCCTTACAGTATCTTTTCTCATGTGAAGGTTTTAATTTTTACATTCATAACATGCCCATGTTTGGGCTATGAATTCTGGCCCTTGTTTTCTTTAAGGCTTCCCCACTTCAAGTTTATACAAATGTTTTCCTAAAGTTGGTTTCCTAAGATTTTATATTCTACATTTAGATTTTTAATTTATCTAGAATTTTTTTGTACATGGTATGATGCATGGGTCTAACCTGCTTTCCCTCCAGATGCCAATTCTATCAGCATAATTTTCTCAATAATCTACCCTTTTCCACTTGGTCAAACATTAAGACTCATATCTACTTGAACCAATTTTGGATTCTGTTTCATTAATTTCTTTGTCTATTATTGTACCAAGTCCATCATTGTGTTAAGTTTATTTATTTATTTTGAGAGAGAGAAAGAGAGAATTTGAAACAGGCTCCACATTCAGCATGGAGCCTGACATGAGGCTCATCTCATGAATCATGAGATCATGACCTAAGCTGAAATCAAGAGTTGGTTGCTCAACCGACTGAGCCCACACAGGGGCCCCTTTTTTTTCACATTTTAATCAGTTTTTATGGTTGTAGTTATTTAGGCCTTTTGCCTTTCTTGTGAATTTTATTTCTAGGCATTTTGTCATTTGATTTTTGTATTAAAAATGAGATTTCCGGGGGCACCTGGGTGGCTCAGTTGGTTAAGCATCCAACTTCGGCTCAGGTAAGGATCTCACGGCTCTCAGGTTCCAGACCCACACTGGGCTCTGTGCTGACAGCTCAGAGCCTGGAGCCTGCTTCAGACTCTCTGTCTTCCTCTCTCTCTGCCCCTCCCCCGCTCATGCTCTGTCTCCCTCTCTCAAAAATAAATAAACATTAAAAAAATAATAAATAATAATAAAAAATGGGATTTCCGGGGTGCCTGGGTGGCTCAATCAGTTAAGTCTCCAACTCTTGATTTTGGCTCAGGTCATGATCCCAGGGTCGTGGGATCGAGGTCCATGTTGGGCTCCGCGCGGAGCTCAGAATCTGCCCCTCTCCCCTTCTCGTGATCATTCTCTCTCTCTCCCTCTCTCTCTCTCCAAATAAATAAACATTAAAAAAGTAAAACTACTGGAGCACCAGGGTGGCTCAGTTGGTTAAGCATATGACTTCAGCTCAGGTCATGATCTCGCGGTCCGTGAGTTCGAGCCCCGCGTCGGGCTCTGGGCTGATGGCTCGGAGCCTGGAGCCTGCTTCAGATTCTGTGCCTCCCTCTCTCTCTGCCCCTCCCCTGCTCATGCTCTGTCTCTCTCTCCCTCTCTTAAAAGTAAATAAACATAAAAAAAATTTTTTTAAGTAAAACTAAACTTTGCATTTTAATTTTGAGTCTAATTACTTTATTCAATTATTTTAATAACAATAGCCTAGCAATAACAAGAACTACCAATGGGCTAGGCATTTGTCTAAGTTTTTTATGCATATTAGCTCATTTAATCCTCAATATTTCTAAAAGCTAGATACTATCATATCAGTTCTACAGATGAGGAAACTGAGACCTAAGGTAGAATTTCTTAGTCTTTCTAGGAAAACAATCTTCTAATCTGAAAATGAAAATTTTACTATTTACCAATATTTATACTAATTGCTTCATTTTATTTCCTTATTGTACTGGCTAAAACTTACAAAACAATACTGAATAAAAGAAGAAATAATAGGCATCTTTTCTTCTTCCTGATTTTAATAGAACTGATATAAACAGAAATTACAAGTAAACCCAAATGTACACTAGAAATATGATAAAGAATTATTTACAAATAATGATACAATAGTAATAACATTATAATTATTATTATGGAACAAAAAAAATAAAGGGCTTTATATGTACAAATATCTCCCATCCTTAAAGAAACTCTTGCTCAATCCCACACCGTTAGGATTTCTTCCTCTGTACATAACAGAGTGCCCGCCCCACAGCAGTTTAAACTACAAGAAGTCCAAAAGAAAGTGATCTCAGGGCAATTTAGCAGCTCAGGAAGGTCATCAAGAAGGCAAGACCTTTCTGTCATTTCTGTCCAACTGTCCGTGACACGTTTGACTTTCCTCATCATGTCTGTAACTTCCGGAGCATGAGATGGTAGCAAATGTCCACAGTTGGTAAGAGGGTTTAATTCAGGACTACCTGTTCCATTTTGTTAGAGGCGAGGAAGTTGTCACATTGAGTGTCAGGGATGAACTAGGCCTCACGGGAGCTTCTGCAGTAACAAGGATGCTATTGTGGGCTTTTCTGGGTCACTGCCCTTGGACACTAGTTACAGTCTCTGACATTCAGAGGCTAGGTCCAGATGGGAAAGAAGGTGTTTCTATTATGATGAAGAGGAAATCCTGCCATTTGCCACAACATAGAGGAACCTGGAGGGCATTATGCTAAGTGAAATAAGCCAGACACAAAGGCAGATACTGTATGGTCTCACTTACGTGTAGAATCTGAAAGAGTTGGACTCACAGAACCAGGCAGTAGAACAGCGGTTGCCGCGGGCTTGGGAGATACGGGGAAATGTTGGCTAAAGAGAACAAACTCAGTTATAAGAAGAATATATTGGGGGGACCTGAGGTACATCAGGGTGACTACAGTAAATAAAACTATATTGTATGCTTGAAATCTGCCGAGAGTAGATCTTAAGTGTTCTCGCCACTGAAAAATGTATACATATATGAAGTCATCACATTGTACACCTTCAAAAAAATCACACTGTACAACCTAAACTTATACAACTTCCGTTTGCCATTTCCACCTCAATAAAGCTAGCCAAAAACATTTTTTTTTTTAATTAAAAGAGCACAGTGGAGATGCCCAGAAAAAGGCTGAGGCTCTAAGGGGACTCCCCAGAGGGAAGGTTGAAGGAAATGACCTAAACAAAGTGACAGCGAGTGACGCGAGCGGAGGCAGTGCTGCTGGGCAGTGATCATGGAGGCGGGCGAGGGCGACCAAAGGGAAAGGCAGTGACACTGGACTCGGGAGTTACGGCACCTGGGTGAGGCGCAGTCCAGCTGCCACAAAATCACCTTCACGGCGCGGGGGAGGGCGATGACTTGTCCGTTTGTTCACTGATGGCCCAACTGTTTACTGCAAGCCAACTACACCTGGCCGCGACCCACGTGAAGACTAACCACCGGTCAACAGGACGGTTTCCTTCTTTCCGTGAGCTTCCCTCCTGCCAGAGCGGAGATAAGCAACAAGCGAAATAGGGCGCATTTTTATAAAACTTCAGAGGAAGACAGGCGGTATGAAGACAACTCAAGCCCGGGGAAAGACCGGAGAGTGGCAGGCGGGGGGGGGGAACGCGAGGCGCGTGTCCGCAGCAATTGAGGTGGACTCCTCAGGGCAGTGCTCTCGCAAGAGCAGGGACTTCAAATCAGTGACCCGGAGAGGCTGGTGTGGGTTGGAGGAATGAGGAGAGGCCACCCAGGCCAGAGCCCAGTCAGTGATGGGGGAAAGGGGGCACGAGGTGGCGCGGGAAGCCAGGCAGCCCGGAGTCCCTGGGACCTTCAGCTTGGTCTCATCCTCTCCAAAGACCTCCTACCTGAGGTACCCTGCCATTCTTCACACTGGGGTGAGTACTCCTCTTCCCAAAGCAGGGCTGTTTCCCTTCGCGGGGCTCTCTTGCCCACCTGCAGGGTACTTTGTCTAGTGCATGGTTGTTTGCAGACAGTTGAGAAGTCAACAGAGCTAAAAATAACAGTCTGGGCTGGAGCACGGTGATTAATCTGCTAAACTCTGCAGAGAGCCAGGAGCAGCAGGGAGACAGGCAGAACAGGCCGCAAGCACCCTGGGCAGTCTCTTCCCGGAGAAATCATCACAAAACTTCTGGTCCTGATCTATTGATTATTCGCTCACCAGTGAGAAATGCACTTCTCGATGTAAAGAAAAACAGCTCTTGGAAGGTTTGCTCCTTCTGAAGATGGCGAACAGCACCAGCTGTTGTAATAGCATCTTCCTCTGTGACGCTGATTAAAAGAGAGAGAAGAAAAACAATGATATTTACCTAATTATGAGAGCAATATTTATGGTTGGGGAATTACACAGGCAGAAAAGTATGAGGAAAAATCACCCAAGTATCACCACCTAGAGAGAACTATTATTAAGGTTTCTAATTTTATATAACTGTACAGTTAATATATATTTGGATATACCTGAGATCATTTGGGAGCTACAGTTTTGTATCCTAATTTTAAATTTGGCATTATTTAGCAATCGCTTTCCCACTGACAGTATCTTTTATAATTTCCCAAACTGGGCTCCAGGCTCCAGCCATACCAAGGGAAATAAGGCAGAGAGAGAGAGAGAGAGAGAGAGAGAGAGAGAGAGAGGTTGGGGTGGGCAAAAGCCAAAAATATGTCCCATGTGGTTGTTTTCTGAGGTAACACTATGGTGTTAAGCCTTGGCAGTTTCCTGGCTTTCCTCCCCAGTTCGTAAGAGGATGTCATACAAAGAGAACAGGAGAGACTCAGAGACCCAGGGACTGGTTTTTAGAGCAGATGATTTTATTGGGCGTATAGTGGTCAGACTTCTTGCAATGCCTGGTAGATGCATTGCTGAGGACCATGCACAGACACACGCACACAAATGGCATGTAAACAAAATTTTGACCACCTGTATCGTGGCACACGTCCTGACTTTTGCCCTGCTAAGCGGGCCTTTCTAACCAGGGAAGCTGGCTGATTTTTAGCCTTAAGACGTAAGGAGAGCTGTCTTCAGTGAAGATACTATCGGAGATGAACTGTTGTCTGCCTGACTCGGAACCACAACTCCAACTGCCTCCTCATTTTTGGCCCATGTGAGCTCCTTAATGGTATTTGTAACGAGTTCGGCCTATGGAACATTTTAATCAGCTTTTGCATTCTTACAATTTTGGTGTCTTTGCTGTAGTTTTCATTGCTACTGTTGGCCAGGCTAAAGCAGGAGCCGAGCATAAACCCAACTCACTTCTTGACCGGCCCTGTCACAGTATATATGTAACTTTATTGTCCTTTCTTACTTATCAGAGTGCAGAGGGTCACGTGATGAACCATTGTCACTTGAGGAACAGGCACTGTTGACTGCCTGTCCAATAGTCATTTCCTCCTTTTGCAGCCTTGACCACGGTAAGAAAGAGCTAAAAAAGCACTGAAAAGGTAGGAATAAAAAGGCTGAATAAATATAAACTGTGACTGGTCTAAGCCAATCATGGGAATCTTAAACCTCTTTGCCAGATAATCACTTTTCAGCCTGCCTTGCTGTTTGACATGGCCGTGTGATCCAGCTCCCATGATGGGCAGAGGAAAAAAATCTGGAAAATATTTCCTTCCTGATGAATAGGACCCTTTGCCCCCCTTTTCTCCTCTTTGAATGTAGTAGGAAGACCTCATGCCTAGAGCTAAGGGAGGCAGCCTAGCCATCTGGTGACAGTGAGGTGACAGCATGAGGGTGAAAAGCTACCGTGCTCAGGACGCCTATGCTGAAGGGCACAAAGGAACTGGATCCTTGATGACATTTTTGAGTTAGCAGTCAACTCTGGAATTGCCCACTTGGGGAATCTTTCTCAAGAAACAAGAAAATTCCTTCCAGTTTAAGGCACTCTTTCTTGCAGGTGAACCTATCCTAATTGATACATGCCAATGGTGGCCAATGCATGAGAGGCTCAACTTTTCTGAAAGGCGGTGTTGATATTGTAGTAGCTGCGAAACTACAAACTAACAAATCCAATGTCAGGAACTGACCAGGTGGGTGAATAGGATGCATTTTTCTTTCAACTGGTGGAGGCCGATCTTTCCAGAAGATGGACAGATTAAGATGAAGGAGTGGGCAAAAAGTAATCATCCAGAATCTATATTCCACAATCCTTGAGTACAGTTAAGGTGGCATACTTTTTAACTGTGTTTTCTGTTAAGCCTAAAAACATATGTTTTTGACAACATTTAACAGACGGAAGTTAACCTATATGGTCTAAGAACAGGGAGTCAGACTCACAAATGGAGACCTCTCAAAGAGCTTGGGACAGGCGCTAAGGAACGACATGGGGTTTAACTTGAGCAGCGTTCATCCCAGAGCAGATGGCACAAAATAATGTGTATTCAGGATCAAAGGAAATTAGAAATGCCTCTTAATTTCAGCTCTCTTACAACCATACATTTTAGTTTCTATTAATTTTTAGTGAGTGGTTATTCATTTTGCAAATTTGTTCACTGACAGTTTTAAATGGCCATCTTCCACACAGCATCTAAAATACTGTTGGATCTATACAAAAACTGAATTATGGAATCTCTTCAGGAATATGGTGTTAAGGAAAGTTCCTGAACTTTGAAGTCAGACCAACAAGAATTCAAATGTTCTGCTATTAACTAGCTGTGACCTTGGACATATTACTTTACTTCTTGAGCCTCATTTCTTAAATGAGGATAATAATATGCATCACAAACGTCTACTGGGTGATTGAAGCAAAGAATTTAAAGTACAGGGGCACATGGGTGGCTCAGTCCGTTAGGCAGCCGACTATTGACTTCAGTTCAGGTCACGACCTCACAGTTGGTGAGAGGGAGCGTCACATGGGGCTCTGTGCTGGCACCAGGGAGCCTGCTTGGGATTCTCTCTCTCTGAAAATAAACTAAAAAAAAAAAAAAAAAAAAAAAAGAATGTAAAGTACAGAACATGCAGATGATAAGTAATAGCTTCTCTGTCAATTAGGGTCTAACAGGAAATAGATGGAATATGCAAATTAGGATGTTTTAACATTTTTTTTTCTTCCTTACAAATGGAGTTATTTCCAAAGGAGGGAAGTACCGAGGGGAACCACATCTAGGAAAAATTTCCAGGTTAAACAAACAGAGCTGCTGTCCAAATTTAATTTACAAAGCTGTTTATCACCTCATTGTTGTCTTATTGAAAACCAGGAAACAATCCAGATGTCTGAGTATGGTGAATTGATTACATCCGTACAGCTGAATACCATAAAACTACTAAAAATAACATTGTAAAAGTAAACATCTTGACACCAAATATATTAGTAATATAGTGCTAAGTGAAACAATAGTTTTTAAGATATTATAGAATCTATTTTGTGAAAATTACATTTCTATTATATTTATAATCTAAATTTATATCTAGATATAATTATTTAAAGCCAGACCCTTAAGATTCTTTGGGGATCTTTTATAAACTTCCAGCCTTTTTTCAGTCCTGAAAGTGGTAGAGAGTTGATTTCACATTTTTTAGGGGACTGGGTGGGGGGGGAGTCATCCTTGATTCACAATACTTGGTCAGTATTGTGTTTGGTAATAGGCCCTCTCAAGTGTGTTTGAACCAGAGCTGTCTCTGAGTCTCTGTAACTTCTTTGGGGTGGGGCTCAGGGTCAAGATGGAAAAAATGCTGTCGTTTGCCTAGTGGATTTAGAAAGCACTCCCTTGCCAAGTGTTGCTTTTTTTTTTTTTTTTTTTTTTTTTTTTTTTTTTTTTTTTTTTTTTT